AATAACAGCTATGTCTCAGAAATCTAGACATAACATTTGTCATCCACTTTCTGTGTGATGGGAAAGTGCAGAGCTTAACTGAAGTCTTGTCTAAAATCGTTTGTAAATCTGGACGATTTTAGCTAGCCTCTTTAAAGTGGTTGGAGATGCAGGTTTTTTTTCTTGAGTGAAACAGCATTTGAGGTCATCTGTGAGGTAGGATCAATTGGGTTTTTTGTCTTGTCTTCTGTGGTGTCTAGTTCTTTTGCTCTGCAAACATATGAACTTTCAAAGGTAATACAAATTTCTACATATTAACACATGTATATAGTGGTTAGTGTGTACAATTCAGCTAAAAATGATTTGTTGCTCTATGTTTGGGCAGGGAAAAGCGATCAAACTTTCTAAGTCCATTTTGACTCTATAGCCAAACTATAATATAAATTTCCATCTATATGAAGGAGTGCCATGATAAGTCTTAAATACTCAGTAACCAACAAGATTTATTGGCTATGCATGGCTGAAGTCCTGGCTGGAGATATCCATGTCTCAGTCAGTCTCAGAGCTGTTCCCATGTAGAGGAATCAGCATATTCTTTCCCTGTTTTGTTGTTGTTCTTGTTCCTTCATGTGAAGATTATCAGAAGGTCTCCCCTGGTCAACTCTAATCTTTATTAATTTTGATAGAATCCATAGCTTCTTTTCTCCTGTTAAAACAAAGAGAAAGCCTCTTTGCCAGTGCAACACATTTCCTTCCTTCCATTCTGCAGTTAAGGCATCTTTAAAATATATGAACTGTTCTAATTCTAACTGTTCTAAAATGTTCAGCATTTTCCCATAATCCAGTGTCTCTCAGTTTTGTTCATTGGCATTTAACATGTTAATGTCAGTATGGCATTATTTAATCTATTTCTGGGAGATTCTATATACATCTTTTATTTTATGAGCATTTCCTTTGAAGTCCTGTTAGATCTCTCTAATTGCTTGTCCTCTAGGGCTGTGAGATATTTCATTAACATGTTTCATGCCACAGTGTTTAAAGTGTTGTTGTGTTCTAAGGATGTGTGTATGGAGGCTTTATCAGCTTCAATCTACAAGGCTTTCCAAGATAGACATCACCTCTAATAAATGTAGAATCTCAGAACCAGCCCTTTCAAAATATAAAGCAAAACCATAGTGAAATCCAGAGCATGTATCAATTGTATGATATACTAACATATGTACATATCTTAACTCTCCAAACTCTACAAAATGAAACACATAATCTATAGTATGGCATTGCTCTAAGGTAGTATCATGAAATAGAATCTGTATTCTTAACTCAGTATATTATATCTGTACAGTTACCATTCTAATTTCTCAAGCCTTTGTGGATTTTCTTATAGAAAACTACCTTTTTTTTTTTGCTTCTGCTGTTGTTGCTTCCAGATTGGATTTTTCTGAAGATTTTTTTGTTTTGATTTAAAGAATATTCTAATCTCTGTTCTTTGACATCTAATCTAGCATTTAATTTTTTAGTCCTCCATTCTCTAAGTCTGCTTTATTCTGATCTTTCTTAAAGAGGATATATAGAAGTATAATCATTACTGAACATATGATTGTTTACATGGTGATAATTAGAACAAAATTATACAGGATACAAATGCTTTCTGTTATTCCATTTTTCCTCATTTGTACCGCAGAAAATATTTTCATTTTAATCTCTAACTTTCTCCTTAAGGACTTTCCAATTTATCTTACAATATCTGTTGACTTTTTAACCCTCCATTTCCATGTGTCTGTAGCTGGCATCTGCCAAGTTGTTCTTCCCTCACTGACTTCTGTGAGTGCAGGCTCTTTCTGCTGTTCAGCTAGCTAGTGCATCCGACAGGCTTTTGACTCCTGGCTCTGTCCCCCCCTCCCCACCCTGGAGTTGTTCCCTCTCTCCACTCAACTCTGAACAGTGGCAGGCTTCTCTCATGTGGATCCTAATTGGGCTGTGGTTTCCCCATGAGCCACCTAGCTCTCTCTAGCACATTCTCCAACCCTCATCTGGACTATGCTGTGCTCAGGAGAAGAATCAGCCACTGTGCCCTGAAGCTCCAGTAGAGAAGTCTACTTTCCTATTCAGCATGGGCTTTTCAAATGTGCCACCTTTCACACTGCCTCTCTGTGGTTTCCTGCTCCTTCCCACTATGGCTAGGAAACCATCTTCCACCTAGGATTTCTCAAGCTCTAAGATTCTAAAAGCCCCACATTGGGTGCCATTTGTAACTATTTTGGCTTTTCTATGTTCCCCTAGGCCCAAATAATGACACAGAAGCTTATTTATCTATGAATTAATGCATAGACCTTAAGCTAGGCTTGTTCCCCAATTGTCTTATAATACAATTAACCCATTTATAGTATTCTATGTCTGCCATGTGGTTGGTTACCTCTCCCCAGTATCATACATCTGACTTCTTCCAAGCCCTGGTGGTGAGGCAAATCCTCTAGTGTCTATTTCCCAGAGTTTCAGTCTCTCTCTCTCTCTCTCTCTCTCTCTCTCTCTCTCTCTCTCTCTCTCTCTCTCCCTCCCTTTCTCCCTCCCTCCCTCCCTCCCTGCCTCCCTCCTTCCCACCCTCCCAGCTGTCTCACCTTCTAATCCTGTCTTATCTTATTGGCCACTTTTATTGACACGTGATGATTTTACACAGTGCACAACAGATTATCCCTACAGGAACCCAGAGGCAGGAGCTGATATAGTAGTCATACGTGGGGCTGTAGCTCACGCATGGGCGTGGGTCCTTTTGGGCTGAGTTCTGGGTCCCATGTGTCTGTGGACCCAGGCGGCTCATGGGGGCAGAAGTGTGGGAATTTGACTGAGTTCACACCACGAGTGGCTGGGCTTTGGCTGAGTTCACATCCCAGGATAGGGGAAACCACTAAGTTCCACTCTGGGCATGGGGAGATCACAGTCAGAGGTCCTGTGGGGGCAGAGGTCTTGGATAGGGGGGTCTCTGGGTGGTGGTGGCTGGTGGGAGATTGATTGGTCTCAGCCCTTGGGCTCCCAGGCACCACTGAGAGACTGCAGAAGAACTGAGACAGTGGGGCATACGGGCTGGACCAGCCTTCAGCCAAAAGGGGCAAGAGAGAGAAGCTCCAGTGGCACCCCTCAGGGTAGATGAGACTCATGGTCGAGGTGACTCGCTTGGCTGAGTCATGGCTGGCTCGGCCAGCTTGCTTGAGTTGGTGGGCTCATGGCTGGAACACAGAGAAGTCCTCCAGCTGGAGATTAGGCTGAGGCTCGTTGGTTGAAGACCCTCTTCATGGTTCTCCACGGTGGGCCCCAAAGACAAGAGGAAGTCCATGGTTTTAAAAGATTTATTGTCATGGAGGAAAGTGGATGAAGCAGTACTCCCTTGTCCTCAGGGTGGGCCTGAGGTTGAATACTTTTTATAAGAAGGAAGAGGGTCTGGGAAATAATGCTTAATGGGCTATGCCCTCTGGCCTTTAGGTATCTCATTAATATGGAGACCTCTTGAGGGTCTGCAGCCTGTAGTCATGCCCTCTACCTGTGTTATGTGACCAAAGGCCACAAACCTTTCTTTGGAAGGGGCTGTGGATAAGTGAAAGGAACCAGGGCCTAGGAGCAAGGCTGAACACCTACTGTCCCTTTAGGGTGTCCAGGGTTTGAGGCCTGTGCTTGACCAGGTACCCAGCTGCCTCTCCCAGCCCACCAAGCCACAGTCATAGATGATTGCTGGTTACTGGCTTGGTCATCATGGCTTGCTCAGCCTCCTTTCTTATAGAAGCCAGAACTATTGGCCTGGGGTCATGTACCAGTAATTTGGATAGGCAGTAAATTAATACAATGCCTCTTTTTCTTTATCCTAGTTATTTCATCAATAATGACACAGAGAAACTAAGATTGATTTTTCAATGTAATGTACACAAACTAGACATTGTGATTCTGTTCTAATCCTCTAATCAAGCTACCTCCCAGCAAAAATCCCTGAGATACTTATGTTTTTTGTATTGGTCTAGCCCTCTGGGCTTCAGGTGTGTTTTGCCTTGATATCTCCAAGCTCCCTTTCTCATGGTGATTCCTCCCTTCTTCTCTTTCTCTCTATCCACTCCTGGTTGGCAGAAGTCCTGCCCTATTCTCTCTATTGCCTAGCTATTGGCTGATCAGCTTTTATTGGCAAGGTTGTTAAGCATTGTTTACTCAAACTTGAGACAGGAGATTCTTGATATAAACATTATGATTTCATATCTAGATTGCAACAAGAAATGAGGGCAGAGAAATCAGCAACTGAATAACACAAGGATAAACTTTCCCCCATGCACAATAACATTATGCCTACAGAATGGGTAGACTAACAATGGTCCAGGCCCTCTTACATCAATCACTAAGAAAATGCCCATAGGTTTGCCTAATGCCCAATCTTCTATAAACATTTTCTCAGTCGAGGCTCCCTCCTCCATGACTGCAGCTCTGTCATAGAATTAGCCCTAATAGTACCTTTAAAAAAATTCCACTATGTTGGATTGGTGTGGTGGTTTGAAAAAAAAAATGATATCCATAGGCTCATAGGGAGTAGCACTATTAGGAGTTGTGTGCCCTTGTTTGAAAGAAGTATGTCTCAGTCACTTACTGCACCTGACAATCCAATTGTAGACTGCTTAGCTCCTTCATTAGCATCATGTCTGTCTGCAAACTGCCATGTTTCACAACATGACAAAATAGACTAAACCTCTGAACTGTAAGTCAGCCCCAATGAAATGTTTTCCTTTACAAAAGTTGCTGTGGTCATGGTGTCTCTTCACAGCAATAAAACCCTAACTAAGACAGAAGTTGGAACCAGGGACTGGAGGATTGCTGTGATAGACGTGATGTGTTTTTGTTTGGAGGAATGTGATCTTTGGCACTTTGGATTAGAAAAGCAGTTGAATGTTTTAAGTGAGGTTTAATGAACCATCCTAGTATGAACGTGGAAGCCAGTGGTGCTGAGGGTTTGAACTATTGGGGCCTGGTTCAAGAGATTTCAGAGGAGACAAATGTTAATATGTGGCTTAGAAGTTGTTCTTGTGATATTTTGGTGAATAATGAGTAAATAGAATGGGTCAAATGAGTAAATAGAATGTCACAGCAAGAGTTGACAACCCTAATGGCATCCTGGAAGATTTGAACTCTGGGTCACATTAGGATGCAAAGCAAGAGGCTGAAAGCATATATTCCTGCTCCAAACTCTCAGTGGACCTCCTGAGAACAACTGAGAACAGCCCTCTATAGGTCTGCAGAGGACAGATCTCAGACAAGAATGGCAGAAGTGCAAAGTCTCAAGGGGCAGGAATGACTTCCTCTGCCTGCAGTGAGAGTGGAGTCTTGGAAGGATCTGTCTTCAAGAGAAGGAGTCTTCAAGAGAAGAGTTATCTTCCTTTTCTTGTAATTGTTGACCTTGAAGACTTTTTGTCTTCCTCTGGAGAATATCTGTGGGCTGGTAACCTGGTTAGACCTGGGAGATGTAAGAGAAATGGACACCTAAAAATGCTGTACCAAATCCTTTATGTAGGTGTAGGCAAGCTCTGATTGGCTTGGTATTTTATTATAAATGAGGCATAGAATGAGAAAGAACCAATCAGAAGATTATATTAGTCTGGAAAATGCAAAACCTGCCCAAACTGAGGAGGGTTCTCAATTGTGGCTACTGTTCTGTCAACTTCACCTGTTAAAAAAATATTAAATTCAAAGTTTTCCTGTCCCAGAACTGGCTCTCAAAATGACAACTCTGAGACTAATTAGTTATTTTTAAATGCCTAGGCCATAAGCTTTGGCTTATTCCCTGACTAGCTCTTAATTTATTTGACCACTTAAACTACTCTATGTTTAACACTTGGTTAATTATATCTCTTTCAGTCCCAGCCCTTCTTCCTTCTCATCTCTCACAGTGTCTCTCCAAGTTCATCGACTTGGTGGTTTATATCCATCTCCTTGACCATTTCCAGTCTCATCTCCTGTCTAGTCCTCTGTGGCCCTCTTAGCATCTCTCTTTTTCTTTCTCACTCTTTCCCAGAATCCCCTCTCTTCCTGTCATTGTCCCACCTCCTATTTCAGGCTTCAGCCCATTGACCACTGGCTTTTTTATTGACAAGTGATGTTTATAAGAGATTTTCTCTGTATTCGCCTCTTTTTTAGATGCTGCAATGGAAGCAGGGAAAATGTATGGAAAGAGAAAGATGGGAAGGTTGGGGAATGGTGTTTCTTGTGGTTGATGCTGATACTGATTCCCATAGGCTTGAGTTTTCCAGCCCCTGCTGACACCCTGAAGCACTGATCCATTCTGAAGCTCCAACCATCAGTGGAAGCTGCCCAGCTGCTGCCTCCCACTCCACTTATCATGGAAGGGGGGCATTGTTCCTACTTCTCATCAGTCCCAGCACCAGGAACTGCATCTGGACATACATCTGGAGTTCTGTGGATGCCACTGCCCCTTAGCTCTTGGTTCCATTGCCAGGAAGTCATTTTATGAAGAGGAATAACCCCTTTAAAGTCTGTGTTTTGAATCTCTTGTGGATGTGCTATGAGGGGGCAATAGTGGGCAAGAATTGCCCCTTTAAAAGTTGTAACTTGAGGCTTTTTCAGAAACCACATGCCTGGAATGCTGGTACAAGCCTATAATCTCAACACCTAGGGACAATGAGAATACTGCAGAAATCTCAGGACAGTGCTGACACATGTCTTTCGGCAGAGGCAGGACGATTTCTGAGTTTGAGACCAATCTGATCTCCAGAGTGAATTCCAGCACATCCAGGGCTACATAGAAAAACCCTATCTCAGAAAACAAAACAAAACAAAACAGCCAAAAACCAAAACCAACCAAACAAAAAAATACCCTGCAAGCTACCTGACTCATAATGAAAATAAAAACTTAAAGCCTTATACCAAAGGAAAGCTCCAGACACTTAGAATTCTGAATTTCTCTGCTCTAAGGATCATCAGTCAAATAGAAGTTTGAACTATACTGTTAAGATACTGTAATCAATCCTATAAGATACTAGACTGCAACAAAACACAAAGATAAAACTTTACTGGAAATATATATTTCCTAAAAAGTTAAAAGCCACACGTTGGCTAGGCCTTCAGCTCATGCAAGTGTTTGTTTGTGAGATGAGCGACACAATTCAGGTTACATCAGTGTTTTCATTACTCTTTGCAAAGTCCTTCGAAACCAGTGATATTTCTGTTATTTTGTGAGGAAACAAACTGTAGTTCCTAATTCAATAGTCTGTCCAAGGCTGAACTGTTTACATTCTACCATAGGCCCTGAACTTACCACTGTCCTCAGGGCTGCTGAAACATGTTGAGTGGTCACTTAGGAAGCACATTGCAAAGCACCCAAGCAAGGAACATGAAGCTTGCAGCCTCCATATGAGGAATCTTGCCATCATGCTTGCTGGAGACAAACCTCTTCTTTGCTGCAACAAAATAGTAAAACATCCCCTTCTGAGATTTTTCAGAAAAATTGAGAATAGTGTAAAAGAGTTTGACATAAGAATAAGAAGCTACAGAGACAGCCTAGCAGAAGACAGCCTGACCAGAGAGCTGTGGTAAGTGTGGACAGGAAACTATATCTGATCTGTTAACACACATGATCTAGAACAGATCTCTGTGTGAAATGACATCTGTGCAGTGTGACTTCATGAGGATGAGGAAGCTGAAACTGGCTCTGCTTTGTCCCTTGTGAGTCAAATGATATATCAAGTGGTGGGGAGATTCCCCACGTGGAGGGAAAGGTGGGGGTGATGGGATTACCTTCTGAAACAGGCTATAGGTGAGAAAGAGGAGCCTTGGCCTTTTATCATCTGCACTGAGGGCGCCAGTCAACTGAAGGAACAAGTCAGATAGGTCCTTGTGGTATCTTCAACTTGCAGATTCTAGGGTCTTTGCAAAATGTCTACATATTAGAGAAAAAATATTTATGCAAGTTCATTGGCACACACACACACACACACACACACTGAAGTGCACACACACTGAAGAAACTATACAGATTGCTGATCTCTAGCTCTAAATATATCATGGAGATGTTTATATATTCATTAAAGCAGTTATTCCTATGCCCTATAATTGCATAGCATTCAGCTGATCAATGATGGGTGCCCATTCCCTCCAAATAAAACAATCCTGAAGAGAAAGTCTAGAAAGTTAATAAAACTCACAAGTCTTGAGAAGTCCTAAACAATATTCACAAGCCTCCTTCCCAAAGCTGAGCAACAATAAATCTGTTCTTTGGAACTCCAGTTCCTGGTCATTTGTGGTGGAGGCCTCAGTAAACTAATACAGGGGGTCAATGAAAGCTTTATCCAGAAAACACTCTAGACTTTCCAGTCATGCCAGTCAAACCGAAGGACCGCTTTAATGATGATATATCTATTCCCCAAGACCTTGAGGCTACGAGGGACAGTCCTTACATCTACTGCAGACACACAGAGAGAAATGCAAAAGTATTCCACAAGTCAACAGTGTGATCTGGACCCTTTAATGGGACTACAGCATGGAGTTTCAGGGAATAGAACTGGGGGTTGGGGAAGGCAGGCACGCTTTCTATATCATATGTTTGGCATTGCTTCTTTGGGTATAATGAGATGAGAGATATAAAGCCAAGGAATTTGATAAGGAATGGGATTAATGTGATTTTCTGCATGGACATGGGAGGAAGAGACACCAACTACTTGAGGCTCTTGTCACTTTAGTGTGAGAAAATGTGTAGCCCGGAAGGGAATTTTCTACAAAAGTATCTTTTTTTACACTTTTTATCCCCTTAGGCAGGAGTTCTGAAGACTGTTGGTAGTAAGCGGACAGGCTAATGAGGGGAGAGGTTCACACTACTATCCTCAGCAGCCTAAGGAATTCCCCAATACCCCTAATGGATCCCAACTCAGGCCAAACCTGGATTCTGGCTTTGGTGTAAAACTAATTTCTCAGACTAGCTGATATGGTGAAGCAGAGTTGAAAATTTTACTAAAGATAGTTTAATATAGGCTTAAGCATGAGCTTTAAGAGAAAGAAGAGGGGTGCTCGCGCGCACGCGCGGCTTGGAGGTGCATCTGTGAGGTGTCCCCTGAGGAGAGAGGGCTGGTGGGAGCATGGAGTCAGCGGCCTAGATGAGCTCCTCAGCCACACTTGGGAATGAGTTGTCCCAGTTGACCATATTAGCACTACACAGTCCCAGACCAGGCCGTCCAGCATCCTGCCCAGGAGATGAGGATCTCCCCGTGCCCCCAGCGCTCCAGGCTGCTGCTGCTGCCGCAGCCGCCACTGCCGCCAGACACCTCCATTGTCTAACCACCTCCAGGACTCAGCATTCAGCAGATCTGCAAATCCAAGCTACTTCCCCCTGGAAGATAAGAGAGCTGCCTCCTCAGGACCAAGAAAAGAAAACCAGCGTGCTATTGTATATTGTTCCCAAGAGCAAGAATGGCCAAGGAGACTTCATGCTGGCAAGGCCTGCCATCTGATGGGCAGGAGGCAAAGTGACATTTTGACTCTCCTGAGGGTGCTCTGGGAGTCCATCACCAACTGGCACCTTGTGCCCTGGGCAGACAGATCATACTGCACAGGCTTTTATGAATGAGAAGTAGAAGAGTACTGTACATCAGAGAAAGACTCCAGGGGCTCAAAACAAGGCCTCGCTCTTTCCTGCCCTGAAATGTTGACCACTCAGGATCTAAAGGAACGAAAGCTCTGTGCTGAAGAGCTATGGGATTCATATGAGAGTCAGTGTGACTTTGTAATCAGTAAGAGCTCTGAGTAAAGAGCGCTATGCAGGGAGAAGCCTTCCACAGAAAGATGGGCTGGGAGAAGCTGAGGCTAACAGTTAGCTTGCCCAAATAGAGCAAGCCTGAGACAGACTGCCAAGATGGTGAAATAAGAGGCTTTATGAAGCAGCAGTCCTGGAACTCATAGTTGTAAGGACACTGTCCTCTTTAAGTCAAGATACCAAATAGAAAAGATGATCTACAAGTGCCCCATGTGCAAGGAATTTTTCTCTAAGAGAGAAAATCTTTTTATGCATCAGAAAATCCATACAGCAGAGAAACCCCATAAATGTGACAAATGTGATAAGGGTGTCTTTCACATAGCAGAGCTTCAAATTCATTGGTGAGACCACACAGGAGAGAAGGTGTATAAATGTGATGATTGCGGTAAGGATTTTAGTGCAACAACAAAACTTAATAGACATAAGAAAATCCACACTGTGGGAAAGCCCTATGTATGTTATGAGTGTGGCAAAGCCTTCAGCTGGAGCTCCCACCTTCAAATCCACATGAGAGTCCACACTGGTGAGAAGCCGTACGTCTGCAGTGAGTGTGGGAGGGGCTTCAGTAATAGTTCTAACCTTTGTATGCACCAGAGGGTCCACACTGGGGAGAAGCCCTTGAAATGTGAAGAGTGTGGGAAAGCCTTCAGGAATACCTCCAGCCTCTGCATCCACCAGAGAGTGCACACAGCGGAGAAACCTTTTGAGTGTGATGAGTGTGGCAAACGTACAAGCCAGCATACAAGCCTTTGCATCCACCAGAGAGTACACACCAAGGAGAGAAACCATCTCAAAATATCAGTTATATAAAAATGTTTGCTAAGAATTTAAAATCTTAAACCTAAGATTGCCACTAGGAAGGAAACCTCAAATCCACCTACACTGAACCCAGGAACATCTACAGCAGTTCCCAGAAAAACATTCTTTCTGAGGAGGATTAGGTGAAGTTGTGTTTCTGAACTCGGAAATGGTATGTGCCCAGGATGGAGCATTGTGTCCCTGTCACAGGTATGGTGTTTCCCGAGACTCTGGCAACATGCCACAGAGTTGAAATAATACTCCACACTCAGGAGCCTCGCTCAGCCGCTCAGTCACCTGTCTGTGCTGTGCTTCCGGGCAGTGCCAGACACTCCCTTATGGAGCTCATGCTCCTCCCTCTGTTCAAGCCTAACTACGGGTCAGTGCATTTAAAAATGGACAGCTCCCGGGAAGACCGAGTCCTAGTATTTCTGAGGTTGCCATTTGACTCAACCCTGACATAGCTTTCCATATATCCTGTTATTTCTGAATCCACCTTACCTCATGTCCTCAGAGTACCTAAGCACTTACCCCTTCCTAGATGGCATGAAACTTCATTTCAGATCTTAAGAAAGTCGTAATATGCACTCACTCAGCCAATCAGGAATCACTGGCAGGTGCACATGCCCTGGAACTTTTCTTTAGTTTGGTGAACTCTGCTAATCACTGTGTTAGACTCATTTTCTAGTGGCTTCGTCACATGCTCCAACTTGATTTTTGTTTTTCTTAAGTAGCTGAATGTATATATCAGGGAGGAAAAAGCAAGCAAACTGAGTTTTCCTACTTCAAGAGTGACTGTCTCAGGCTCCCTTTTTAAGTGGTGGACTTACTTACTAGCTAGGAAGGCCTTGAGAGGGCTGACTGGGGAGTCACTGAGGATGAATCTCTCATCTCAAGCAATAATGTGTAGGTGTCATCACGAATCCCATACCGTTCTTTCTAGGCATGAGTGTGTCGTACTGATCCAACAACCTCATTCATTGTCTGAGTATTTATTGAATGCCTCCTGAGTGTCAGACATGTACTGGGTGCTGAGAACGCCACTGGATCATGAAATTCACCTCTGGAGGAGACCAGGTAAGTGAGTTACCACATAAATAAAGTAGTTGGCGGTAGTGATGAAGTGCTTTGAGAAACTAGAGTAGTATGTAGAGGGGGTGGGGGGCCAGGTAGCAAGCGTCAGGAACTCTGCGCTGAAGATGCTGGGGTCAGGAGAAGGGAGCAATGACAGTAACAGCACAGGTGCTGCTGGCTCTGGGGACGAAATGCAGGTGCTGGAGGTAGTGTGCAGGGAAGGGAGGTACTGGGCCATGAGCTAAATGGCTAGCATGTATAGGCCTGTTGTGTTTGTTTTGTTTCTATTGACAGTAAAACTCATGGGAGATCTCAAGGGATGTTGAGAAGACCAAAAGTCCCCAGTGATACCAACACAAAACTCCCAGTTTCATTTCCTTCTCATTCTCGTTCTCTGTCTCCCACATGCAGTTCTTTGTTCAGGAAGTCTTTGGGAGAAACTAATGACCTGTAAATTGGAAGTGGGTAACTGGCTTGGTGGCTTCTGCCAGCCATCTAAGGCTGGATCAGGATCTTCCCCGATGACTAGAAATGTGAGACTTGCTTAGTTGGTGTTTTGTTGTTGTTGCTTTTTTTTTGTTTTTGTTTTGTTTTGTTTTTTTAAATTTTGTTTTGTTTAATCTTTCATTGGAAGAAGTTCTTGTAAAACTGAAGCCTTGGCTTTGTAGGAGCACATTGTCAGTGGGCAGGGTTTAAAAATGAACTTGTCACCATGGGTTTCAATGTAGACACCTTCAGGCAAGCCTTTGGCCCACTGGTCACCGCCTTCCCCTGTCCACAGAGGACTATTGGCTAACACACCCGCTTCCTGGCCTCACAAGCACCACAGCAATTTCCTGTAGTGTCTTACACTTCCATGTCACCACAGCGTGGGGCATTAGAGAAAAGCCTGGATAGACTTTTAGTTGATAGAGAGCCAGTTGAAATATCATCAATAGAATTTTAATTTAGAGAAAATTGGTTTGATTTCTAGCTTTATTACTATTAGGTATGTAAGCTTGGGCAAATCACTTAATCTTCAGGTCTAGTTTTCTCACAAGATGAGGACATTGGACTGAAGGATTTCCCAATTTCTAGCTAGTTCTAGAGTTCTATCTTTCTACATAGTTGAATTATTTTATCATGCTATTGCTGGGGAATACAACTAACGCTTTTGAAGCTACTAATTTTATATCAAGCTTTAAAGTCCATAATTGTTATCTTCAGAAATATTATTTGAC